TGACGATGAGTTCGTTCGGGACCATGACCGAGACTTGGAGGCGCGTGTCGCCGAGCGCGTGGAGGATCGTTGGGTTCGCGTCGTAGAGCTTCACGACGCGGGTGGGGTCCACGTGGAGGTGCTGGAGGTGCTGAGGCCGTGGATGGAGCTGGGGTACGTGACGCTGCAGGACATTAGGGAGCAGGAGAGATTCGATGGGTACTACCACAACCAGTTCATGGTGGTCAATGTGGTCCCTAAAATCATTTTGAAAATTTGGATTCTAGGGGATCAATTCCGACAAGGAAAATGTCATGTCCTTATAAATGGAAAAATTTTGGGACCCGGGTTGGTTTGTTGGATCATGGTGCAGGGGCGGATCAGATCCAATTACCCAATTTCTGGTCAAACTTTCAACACGCTAGATGACATGGAGTAAAGGAACACGTGGCATCACCTGATTCGCTGTCCGTACAGAGGGCACCAAAACCCTCTACTCACAAAGGGCACGCAAGGAATCGCCTTAACTTTAAACTTAAATATGTTTTGTTAAATAAAAGGATATGATGACGCATTTAATGAGGTTGAATAATTTACAAATAACAATTGAAATTTTTAGTTGTACTCTCATCAATAGTTGCACCATTAGGAATTCAGCTATCCTCTCAAACAATGGCATTTTTTGAAGTTTTTATGAAAAATTGTGGCATTTTATTTGGACAGTTGTCTTTTCCATCACGGGTTGTCCTCTATGTAGTAGTTTGTACAATAAATCATGGTAAAGTCATATGGTGAAGGGTATTCCTCTATAAAACCCCTTGATGATGATGTGGTTTTGGGTTACCTTTTAGAATTTTCTAACGGCTTCTACGTAACGTAAATAGATAATTACATATATACATGGTGTAGAAGACTAGTAGAGGGTTTCAATTTGTTGCTTGACGTAGCCGTTTGTGAAGCAATGCATGGGTGTCGTTCCATAGCTTTCTAGCTTCTGATTCGTCGTTTGCTAGACTTGAGCAGTTACTCTCATTACAATCCGTAAAATATTTTCCACTCACCCCCTCTGTTTGCCTGCTTAGAGCAACATAACACGTCGTTGATGCACCCTACAGCAAACATATACATGCATTATTGTAAATACTGCTACTCATAAATCATAATATAAAATAAGCTAGAAAATATTATGTTACAAACCTGTGATATCGATTTCAGCAACTTGGATGCAATGAAAAACAAGGAATCTGCATGGAAGTTTTATGAATATGTAGTGGCTTAAAACCTTATTATACTTAACAATTTAATTAAGCTTTGTACTTACCCGTTATTAATCCCTTATGTGCTCTAATAATTCCTGTCTTCACAATGCCTGGATGCACTGCGTTAATAGTTACATTTGCATTCCTTTCCTGTGATCATTTCACAATTTGCAAGAATATTTTAGCGAGACATACAAAGATTTAATTTAATAGCGTGATGATCAGCAATTCAGCATTCACCACAAATAAAAAAATAAATACAATAATAGCAAGTTATTTGTCATTATAACCTTGAGCTGTCTGGCAACTTCCTTCACATGCAGAATTGTGGCCAATTTTGATTGAGCATATGCGCGTGTGCCATTATAGCTGCATTTGTTGTTTGAAAGAAAATTAGGATTACTAATGTCCAAATTTAATGCAATCAAACTTTGCAGAGAAGGGGACTAAGTGGCTATTGTACTTTTTTCCGCAGAGCATGTCGTTGAAACAAAAACAAGATCTTTTCACCCAGCTATGAATCACAGAAGAAATGTTTATTATTCTTCCTTGAATGCCTGTCCTCTTTGCTGTATCAATCATTTTCTCTAGTAGCATTTTTGTTAACAAAAAATGTCCTGCATTATAAGAAATTATGAGGGTCTTATTTAATGGTGATCATGAGGACTCTGTTTGAGTCAATTTTAACTATGCTCGACTTTGCTTCTCTAATTTGTGTGTACGCGTTTGTCTTGTGTTTAAGGACTGCAAGAAAATAAGAATGGAGAAGTGAAGTACCTAAGTAATTTGTAGCAAATGTCATTTCAATTTTCTCTTCGGAGAACTCCAAGTTTTGAGAGTACATTCCTGCATTGTTTCTGTGAAATAAATTTATTCTAACTTTTAGCACTTCATGAATATAAATGGCTTCACTCTTCCTACCTATGAATCACGAATATATAATGGAAAAAAGGGAAAATATGATTAAAAAAAAAAACTCACATGAGAATATTAAGGGGAAGTTCCAAAGCTAAAAATTCTGAACAAAATCTCTGTACAGAAGCAAAAGAGCTAAGATCAATCTCCAACAGAATAACCTCAGCATGAGGACTCTCCTTTTGGATCTTCTCTCTCACTTCCTTGGCCTTTCTCAAGTCCCTGGCTCCAATCACAACCCTCACTCCTCTCTTTGCTAGCACTCTAGCTGTTTCAGCTCCAATACCAGAAGTCGCACCTTCAATTCAAAATTCAGCAACAAATTGCATCTTCATTAATTAAGCTAACCCCACATTATATTTCACTTAGTAATAACTAAATACTTTTTAGAATAGTAAATTACTATCATATAATGAATAAAATCCACGGTAAAAAGTTGGATAGAGATTTCTGACACTGACAAAACTCAAGTACAGATGAAAATGCCGGTGACAGTTACGTATTATAAAGAAAGTGACAAGAATAATGTGTTCCAGAATTTTCAAAATTAAAACCAAACAGACTGGAAGATCAGAAGGGAATAGTGATACACAAGAAAAACTTTAACCATTCTTGGGTTCTTTATTACAGAGAAAATGTTTGGTCACAAAAAATACTGGTGGCAGTGGAACCATGATGTATAGACTATAAAGCATTTTATGATATAATATGGTGACTTAATTACCAGTGATGAGAGCGGTTAGATTTGAAGGAAGGAAGGAAGAGAAATCTTGAGTGACTTGTTCAGCTGTTGAATTTGAGCCGAAACCACTAGGGCCAGCAAGGCCTGCTAAGTAACGTAGTGTTGCCTTCATGGATTGCCCTGCTTTAGAATCTCACAAGGACAAAGCATTTGTGGGTGAAACTCAAAACCACATAGCTTTATATAGAGAGTATACACCAGCACATACACAGCACAACACATATGCTAAGTCATATGAAATGATTCAAGTTTAGAATTAATAATGTACGTAAATTAAATTCATTTAAAATACACAAATTAATATATGGAGCAAGTGGATCAACTAGACTAAAATTATTTTAACTTGATCAATAATTTCAAATTTAAGTCTCAGCTATCCAATTATGTTATAGAGAGTTTTAACGCTCATAAATATCTAATATTGATAAATTGTGTTAAAATCTGTCACTATATTCTTTCTTGTTAAATTATACTTTTCTTGTTAAATGATATTTTTAAAATGCAATAAAATAGAATTCATTATTCATTTGTTTACTTTTGATTAACACGTGTATGAAACGTCATAAAACTTCCACGTAGACCATGGACTAAGACCAACCAAACTTAGTGGTCTTCATCAATTATTAATTTATTAACAAAGTTGTTTGGTTTAGACCTTTGTACAATGGTTAGTGAGACATAGTTGAGTTAGTGCATTAAATGTTTCACAGCTTCTTCCTCTTAGAGTACTATACCCACTAATTTTCAAGCAACATATATAATTGATTGAGAGTTGAGACCACCGATGTTGGATGGTCCACAAACTATGTGATTTGAACCTACCAACACGGTTGATATTAAGAAATTATATCAGCACGTAATTCTATCATCCCTACTATTTGCAATTCATTTGGATCATTTTTCCTTTACTTTTCCGGTCTTCATTTCTCATAATTACTGCTGTCCTTATTAAGTGGCTTGCATTTTCCAGTGGGCTGTGGACTTTTATGTTCTTTTGGTAAAACTTTCGAGTAGGTAATAATGCATAATTAAGAGTAACAATGAATCATTAATTATGTGAAGATTATTTCTTAAGTAAAACCGAATTCTTACGTGTAAATGAATGATGTCTGGTAACTGTGCTTCCTGTTTTTATTTCCTTTTGTTTTGCACAAGGATGTTAACTTTCACTTTTCTTATGGTAATCAATTTCTGAATGTGGATCCATTATTTTCTGTACTTTTTTTATTTTCCATCCAAAACGACCATCTTACCCGCTTTGTCATCTTTCCGCAGAATTGAAGCAAAGTTTTTTTTGCTTCAGAGGAGGAGGTTCATTTTTAAGCCCTAAACACATCACATCACTACCAGAAAATGGATTGTTGTTACCTTAGTGACAGCAATCTCGCCTCAGAAATCCTTACAAATTAATGTTAGTAATAATTAACGGCTAAAAGGGTTAGCAAGAAAATAATAGTGATATATGTTAGATATGGCTAAATAAATAGTCATGTGTGGTGAAGGTAACAATTTTTTTTCCCTGTCACCTAGTTCAAGTAACATAATTAAAATAACTATAAGGTTTTTATTTTTTATAGACGCTGACTGAAACTTGTGTTAAGGAAAGAAAAACCATATTACTAGATGCTGTATACAATTGAAAGGACAAAGAGTACTAGACAAGAAGATCCGGTCTGCATCGCTCAGCAAGATACGTGATCTGCTTTGCCTAACTTCTTTCTTGAAAGTCCGTTTATATTATTACAAAAAATAGGTTTTAGTTCAACAAAATCAAAATATCACTGTCACATATATAGTCCAGGTTAAACTTAATTCCTTTTCTTTTTTTCTTTCCCTTATTTTGGGTTACAATTATTATTTCCAAATTTCAACCAAAGGATACTGTTGGTATATATCCGGTGTGCGGTGCGACATAACTATAGCCTGTTGCACCAAAAGTCAAGACCTTTTGCACGAGCTAATTATATATTCTACTTCTTACGATACGTTAACTTCAAGAAATACTTAAAAAAGATATAAAATTGTGTTTGCAAATTCTCATCTTTTAAGTTGAACTATGTCGGAAATATGTTTGAAAAATAAGTGAACATTGTTACTCGTTTATATACGCTATACTAGTCTTATTTTTAGTGGAGTGAGATATTTTCTATATTAAAAATTAAACTTTTTAAGCATGAAATCGATAATAGTCTTGTAATAGTGAGTGACTTAATAAAGTCACTAGCAATCGATAATCGTTAGGATATAAGTTTTGATATTTTTTAATACAATTTTAAGAAATAAGTCTAATTTAACTTTACAAAATTAGTTTGTAAAATAAAGGTTGTTCATCATTTATGTACACTATTATAATCTTATTCCTACATGATGTAAGATCTCCAATACACCTTCTTCATATAAAGAATTGAATATCTTAAACGTGAAATTTATATCGTCTTATTCTTAATTGATATGTGATCTTCAACAAACTATCATCTCTTCTCGTGATTGCATATATATAAATTATATTTGTTATTTTTTCATGATAATAAAAATCTTTTATATTATAATAATCTTCTTAGCATTACCCAAAGTTAACATATAAATATATATATATATATAATAGATGAAATATTTATTGTAATATTAAAGATATGTATTTAATTATCCGAGTTTATCATGATTAAACTAACCAATCATAACCTTTAATGGTTTAAGCATCAACTCGTTTTTTTATTTTTTTTTATTTTTACTTTTTATAAATACTATCCCGTTGCTATTAGTTTATTAATTTGTATGTTTATTAGTAATACTTTGAAAAAAATTATAGGTGTCCACTTTTTTATTTATATTTTCGTACATATCACTTATATATTACAAAATACAAAAAAAAAATCCTTATATCATTTTGTACCATAGTCTATTATTATTTATTTTAAAAACATTTTTGACCTTATAGAAATGATGGTAACAAATTTACACACACTAAATGGTAATAGTAGTAGTAGTTAAAATATTTTTTATGTATACGTTACATACCTTTTGATTTTTTTTTCCCTCTAAGCAAAATTTTTGACTCTACCCCCGTACATAATATATAAAACTTATCGATCGTCACAGTCACCGAAATGTTTAGGATACGCCAAGGTAGCCAATCGTGACGGCCAACGTTATTCATGCTTTGTAGAAAAAATGGTGCAACTTTTGAAGAAAAAGGGGATGAGTTATAGTTTCTCTCCTTTTTTAGTTAATAGCTGAATTGATAATTAATTAACCACAGGCAAAATTCATGCACGTCAATTTTGTTTTGTTTAACGTTTTCTAGAAGACCCCAAGATATGTTTTGTTTTCTATATATGAAAAAATGGCTCTAGATATCCATGTTGAAGTAAAGTAATTATAGATCCCTGATGATGCTTTGCATGCACTAGTGACGAAGAAAGAACTAAGAAGGAAGAAATAGGTATGAATGTAGTATGTATGTATCCTAACACGTGTGCATCTAGAGAAAGCAATGATAACGGGTACAAGATGCATTGAGGGTTTGAATTTGGATGGAGAGTGTTGTGCTGGAGAGGATGGAATTGAAGGAATGAAAAGAGAGAGAGAGAGAGAGATGCTTTTGATGCGTGCGTGCCATTCACGTCTCTTTTTTGTGGCACATAGAGAGGTCCAATTTCTCTGCTTTATCCATGGCGCTTAGAGAATGATGGAAGGTGTTGGAGGTTTGACGGGTTAAAAGTGAGGCATTGAGTGCGACCCTTCAACGATGGAATGCTGCACAAGGGTCCCATTCTGTTTCCCAATTCCTCAACACCATCTTATCACCTCTTTCAATCTTCATTCCTAGTTTCACACGTGATCCCTCTTCGCATGCGTCTATCAAACTCTCTTCTATAAAGTCTGAAAATATATCTCATACATAATAATAGTGCTATATATTCAGAATCCATATGTGTGCCAGTCACATGAAATATATACTTCATGCATTATGCATATGCTGACATACATGCTTCCATATATCACACGAAAGGCTCCTTTCCATTATTCAAAAGCTAAAGTGCCTAATTATTATCGCTAGTACCTTCTTCTTTTGCTAACCAAAAATAGGATCACCACTTGTGGAGTAAATGTTGAAATATATATAAGCTACCATCTTTGTTGAGTCATTAATTTAGTTCCTTTATGTTCTTTTAAGGATATGTGTTTATTCGATCGTCAAGCGGGTCTAACTCGGTTGAATTATTATGATGTGTGAGTTGTTGAACTTGAGCTTATTTTAATGGATAAAAATATATATCATTTTTTAATAGGTAGTTTTGAACTTCTATATATACCCATATGTTGATTAATTCTATCCTTGAGCTTGATCAAAGCATTGATGATTGAACTAGGAGATTAGCGAAAGAAAAATATACTTTTTAATACTTTTATAGTCAAACAATCAAAACTAATAAAGTATAACCAAAGTGATAAATAAAGTAACTGGAGATTTTTTTATATAACCACAAGTATTATTTACGATAGACAAATTATATTCGAGTAAAGTAAGAATATATTTACTGCTACTTAATAGTAAAATACGAATTAACTATGTTAAGTCACATGTTTTGTATTTTATTGAACAAAATTTAAACAAAAATTATAAAGAAAAAATTGATTTGATTAAAAGAAAACTGATATGACCTCGAAATCACGCGTATCCTTGTATTATGGTTGAACAAATTCGTCCAACGAAGAATTTTTTTAAGTAAAATTAAATGGTCAAATAAATAAATTAATCACTCTCAAAAGATCCAAAAATATCATGCAGTATATTCTCAAAATGAATGTGTAATTTGCTCAATGTGTAACAAATGAAAATAAAATAATGTGATATATGATATAAAATTATATCAATAGTGATTTTTGTTTGATTTGTTGACATATATATATATATATATATATATATATATATATATATATAAATGTGTAGTGCTCATATAGTACAACTTGTTGATTAATTTTGTGGCTTAACCTTCAAGCTAATTAATTAACCTTAAAGACATGTCACATACAAAATTATGATTAGGTTCGCAACGTAATTAGTTTAAAAATTTGATTCATGCAGCTGACCAATACTATTGTTAATTGAAAAGGTGCGGGCTTTGTTTGATTTTTTTTTTTTCGTTTCCAAATTCAATGACGTATGATAAATTAATTCGTAATTCAAATTGAACACT